TCCCTTCAATTTACCAAGTGTAGTGGTCTTGGTGTGCCTTTATTGCAGAGATTCACCTCACTTTTCCAGTGGGCTTCAGTTTTCATCAAGGAACCTGAGAGATGCCCTCTTTCTGTTGTTCACTTCTGCTCTATCTTCTGGAGCTCAGGACAATGTCCTTTATGACCCCCTGTGCCTCTCTAGTATGGAATCAGGTAGCAACACAGCCAGAAGGCCCAGAGGTGTTGGGGTGGGCAGGCTAAACTGGTCATTAGGGGGCAGGGGGCAGGACTGAGTGGGGCTCCAAGTGCCCGAGGTCCTCATTGTATGCTGGCTGCCACAAATCTTTATTTGACCTGCTGAATCAAAAGCTAAGTAAGGAAGACCTTCCCTCACCTTGTGTATGTGGCACCATCTAGTTGGTTGAGGCCCCAGATAGAACAAGAACACAGATTAAAGGTGAATTGGCTCATTTTGTAGCCAGAATAATCACCTTTTCCTTGACTTTGACATGAACACTTTAGTTTCTAAGGTCTTTGACCTCATATTTTCAGTAGATTATAAACTCTTAGAACATGGAGAAATCATTTAGGTCTTTTCTGTATCTCCAAAAGCCAGTGAAATAAGATGACACAATTTCTGCTTAGTTATAAAATATGAAATACCTTGGCACTCTTTCATCCAGTATTTGAAGGTTTGCAATAATACTATAGCTTGTATAATCACAATATTGATTTATAAAATATCAGTTTAGATATATTCATCTGCCCATTTTTCTCTCTCAGTGGCATTACCTAAATCAGACCTGTCTTCCTTTGATCAAAGTCATTGAGCAAAAGAGGATTGAAATAACATGATTTTCTTAAATTTTGAGTAAAATATGTTCTTATGTTTAACTCAACTCTATGAGCAGCTAAGCACTGATACTTATTTTTAAAATGTTAGTAAATAGTACTAACAGAGATAAGTTAGAATTGTCCTTTTCTGACCTTAGAGGCAGTATTTTTTCAAAGAGGGAAGAGTTTTATGATATTCAGAAGGAAATACACCAGAGAACTAGAAGCCAGATGTGTAACATTTGTAAGGAATTCTTCATCAAAAGGAAGAAAAGCTATATTATGGGCTAAAATGATGGGTTTCAATTTGGTTCTTAAAGAGTAGGCATGTGAAAAATTCAGATTCCAAGTCCATGCAAGCAAAGAATCTGAGGTAGTTAGTAGAAGATAGGGCTCCAGAACATGCATTTTTGGGAAATATTGCAGAAAAGTTTTTTGCAGATGAGGGCTATACTAGGAGAGATGCTAATTTAAGTGAGTTAAGGAAAAGAAAAAGAATATGAATTGACTGCCACAGGAGTGATAAAATAAGGATGCTGGTGTATGTGTATGTGTGTGGGGCATGTGATGGGGAGAAAAGAAATTGTATGCTGAGTACACGAGGAGGGTTGAGGCTAGAGCATTGGTGGCAAACCTATGGCATGTGTGGTGTTTTTCTTTTAAGACAAAAGATGTTAATGTATGAGTTGTTGTTGCTAAATAGAAGCCCAATATTCAAGTTTAATTGCAGTGTTGGTACTTTGGAATAAATAAGTGGGTTTTGGGTGGCAGTTCGGGCACTCATCCCTAGGAGGTTTGCCATCACTTAGGGTGATAATATGTATATATACAGAAACTACAGAAACTGGAGATGATGAGAATAAAATGTAAGGGTAAGCTGAAAATTAGCAGTGTGAAGAGGGTCCACTGGTTTCCCCCACACTTTATTTAAGTGGCCAGATCATGTGCTATGGTTATCTCTCAGCAAAACTGCTCCCACACAATGACCACCGTGACCATTCATACAGAGGGCATCATTGTGCTGTGGCGAGAATGGAACATTTCCCTTGCATAGATGATTAGCAGTGACCAATCTCTCCTAAGCAACTCATCATAAAAGGAACAGAGCATGATCTATGAGAAGGAAAACACTAGAAAATCCTATCACCTTAAACTATAGAGAAAATAGATGTCCCATCTTCATTGAACTTAATTTAGTTTAGTTTGTTATGAGATGAAAAACAAGTGCTTTGGAAAGCATTCTGATAAGAATCATCCTCCTTCTAGATTAGATCCTGTAGCACTCATGAAAACTATTTCCGTTGCTCTCAATTTCCAAATTGTACTTACAGATGGAGTTTGTAAGAAAGGGAAGGTGATCTTGTGTGTGATAAACAGCAATTTCCCAAGGGTTTGATTGCCTGATTAAGACCAGTTTAGCTACTCTCAATTAAATGAGCAAAAGAGCAAATTGGTGGCAGAATTCTTTTAAAGGATACATTATTCGTTTGAAAAACTTACAGCAAATTAATTCAGTGACTGCTGTTACAAGTTATAAATCCAGCCAGGGGACAAAGAATAAGCTCAGATGTAGCAGGTGAAACCCCAAAACCCTGGACTGTCAAGTATTACAGTCTGTAGTTCTTAATTCCTAAGCTATATTTCCAACTAAGCCTGGGCAAAAATACAAATCCAATTTAATATAACTTCCCACAGCGGAAGTGACCTTCGGCTTGCAACATCAAATAAATCTCTGAAAGCTATGGTAAAGAAAAATAATTAAAAGTGCAAAGAATCAATAGCACTCAAACAAACGATACAGGACAGGTTTAATAACACTGAGGTATCTCACACGCAGAGAAAGCTACTAAATTGGGAGTGAGGGTAAGTTAAAGACAATACATCTCAAAAGTATCCCTAGCCAATTAGATGATTGCTCTACTTTTCCCCTTCATGATTTTTAACTCAACTCATCTTCATCTATAAGGAATTTTTCCTATTTGAGGATATTTTATTTGTAAATTGGTTGACCCTGTCACACTGACGGTCAAAGGATTTCGGATGGCAACAATGTAGTTCATTATGAGAAAAATCCTTTAATAGTAGGTAACAGCTTGGCCTCCACTGCCCCCTGGTGAAAAACCTAATGTTTGTAACAAAATAATGAAATACTGGACTGTTCTCTTACTGCTTTCCTTAAATTATTCACAAATGTACTCGTTATTTCCTATCATAGTCCAGACATGCAGACCACAAAAGCAAAGTTTGTTCTTAAGTGTTGTTTCTCTGTATTTTTTTGTATGTGTGTTCTTTACCTGTTAAATGAGGGGAGTCGTACATACCAGAAAATTACAGTGAGGAAAATGAATACAAATATATCAGGTATGGCACTTACACATAAAATATGTTGGTGTTGGAAGGGAATTAAAATAATTTATTGCAAGATTATTTTCATAGACCTGGTTGAGAATATGAGACAGTGAAGTTTGCCTTGGGTAGCACAATAAAGATTGTAGGGCCTGCGGCAATATGAATTTATATGCTGGCCTAAAAGTAGTAGAAATCACTGTTTTTATAAGTCCCCAAATTCAGCTCATATTGGGTCCTTCTTTCATCCCTTCTCTGTATTTTGCACAAGTGAAAAACGGAAACTCAGAAAATTACAATTAGTCATCTGTAGCTGTACAATTGTTTTACATCCAACTCTAGACTAGAAGCTGCAGTATTTCCTAATGCTGGCAATTTTGAATAAAACTTATCTGGAGGATAAGGTTGGAAAATGGTCAGAAAAGAGTTTGAAAATGGAGATTGGGATAGATGGACGGTCTTGCTTGACCAATAGGATTTGTAGGCAGTAAGACATTTCTGAGATGTTGTATGCATGTGAGGCCTGTAATAGAAGCTCTTTTAGGAAGGCCAGGTGGCAACTTGCATCGTTTAAATTGGAGGAGAGAAGCATGCAGGGAGGGAGATCCCATAGACAGCAATTGCAGTTCATGTAGAAGATGTGAGGCTCTGAACATTGGAAAGGAAGGGTCAGCTTCTCAAGGTGAAAACTGAAGGATTAGGGAACTCATTGAATTAAAGGGCAATAGAGAGAGAAAATCAGGAGTGACTTCACAACTTTACAAAAAGGATTACCTGAAGATTAAAGTTACTGTATTCACGAATTTTCTCATTTGCCTGGGCTACATAACTCACATTGGGTTAAAAGTTAATTCTACATGCTGTTTTTTCCCTGCTGTTAACAGAAATAACCCTTTTCTCCTTTTACAAGTTCTGGAAAATTTGTCAAATTATCTGTAAACTTCAAAATATAAGCCCAGAGTTTAATAAAATGATAGATAGTACATATTTTAACTAGCACATGCTTCCAGTAATGTGCTAAACTGGATTTTAAAAGGCACAGATAAGTAAGATTTGTTTTTTTGTATTTGCACTGGTTAGGATTTGACACAGAGCTTTCTGCATGCTAGACAAGTGCTGTACTACTGAGCTACACACCTACCTAGACTATATAGGCGAAAATTTAACCCAAAACTAAATCTCAATTATCTACAGATGACCATTGACAACACAAACATGAATAATTTAAATACCCTGCTAATCTTTTAATAACTGTATTCACTTTCCTCTAAACTTCTTGAAAAACAAAACACATGAAACAGAAATGAAGTTGCTGATCTGATTAATATTTCCTGTCTTGCGTAAATCATCTTGTGATGAGAGAGTAGACCCATCAAACAAAGCTTCTGCAATACTGGGAGAAACAAGGAAACTAGGTGGTTTAAATACTTATTATTACACCTGTGAATTAGATTTAGTATATCCAAACCAAAGGCCCATTCTTGGTCTTCCCTATCCATCTACAAATTCAACCAAGAAGTATAGAACTTGCAGATACAGAGTGCTGACTGTATTTAGTTTAGAAGTGATGAGAAGGAAATTATTTAGAAGATTTCAAGAAAAACAATTTTCAACACTTAGAAAGTAGAGAATATGGTGGAAGGCATGGCCTTCCCTGCCCCATACCTCCCTTCCAATGGATTAGAACATTTTGTTACTGCTCACACTATATGGTTTAATATGGGTGAAATCATTCTTTCCTCAAGGGTAACTTCCACAAAACTGGCTAAATACCAAGTGAAGATGCCAGTTCTATACTCCAAACCTACTTCCAAGATTTCACCATGTAATTTTGCCTAGGACCTTCTGAAGAAGAATTGCTTCTCAGACCGGTAAGGTGTACCTTGCCTCCAAAGAGAAGAATCCTTGAAAAAACCAAATGGGAAACATGGCTGCAAGAAAACTGGGAAGACTGCATGGTGAGAACTTTAAAACAAAGCTTATATTCCTCAATGAATAAATCATGACACCACTTTTGTTATGGGGCAGTTATCAGCCTAAGTACCAAAACTTTCAGCATCTTTTCAGAGCTTTCTCTAAAATTCATCATTTGGGTTGCTTCTCTTTTTTAATCTTTCTCTTCATCACAACATATTGTATATACTCTAAATTTTATTTTCTGCAAGTGTTTGCCAAATTTCTTGGGAAAAAGTGTAAAATAATTGAGAATGGATTTGTTCCTTTAGATTTAAAAAAATAAGTCAAATTTTGGACAGTAATCTATATGAACAAGCTTATGATGCAATCTAGAATCCCTTGAATAATGTCTCAGGGCAAAAGTTTTGATCACGTAGGCCAGCCACCCTGATCGGAACAGAACTACCTTGCAACAAATCAAATTTGTGCTGAAAACCATCAAGCCCGCTGAGCCACTGGCATTGAAACAGTTGGCCTGCCCACTGTGAGGCAGTGGGGCTGTGACCACCAGGCTGCTAGCTCTAGCTAGGTTAAGTCATGTTTGGAGAGAAGATCAAAGATACAACTGAGAAAGATAAGAATTGGTAGAAGTAAACGAATAGCGCAACTTCTTCACAAAACGGAGTGGAGTGATCAAATCATAATTGAAAATGGGTTTGAGAGCTCCCTTTAGGATATCTTTGTCCCTCCTTTGCCACACAGAATGATCTTGTATGTCATAAATTATAAAACTAGGGATTCAGGAGGAGCTTCAGAGAGGATCCTTTTAAAGAGGAAAAGGAAGTCTAGAAAGAAATAATTTGCCCAAGGTTACACAAGTTGTTAGAAGAAGATATGAAAGTAGAATATCTTGTCCTAGTACAGTGCTTTCTTTTTTAAAAAACTAAATTAATTTATTTATATATAATAAATGGATACATATTACTCTTTAAAATTTTTTATCATACACCTGCTATTTTAAAAATATGAACACTACACATAAAGCCTTGTCCTCCATCCCCATGACTCTCCTTACTGGGAGTCATTTTGATATTTACATTCATTTTATTTATTTTTTATAGCTTCATTTTAAAGCATACCATAAAAGCCAATGGAGCCTTGCTAATAAAGAAAACTTAACCTTGCATTAGCTATACTCTAAGAGAATGGATAAACAAACACTAAACTATCATAGAAGACTTAATTGTGAAATAATGGTAAATAAAAAAAGTCTGAGGAGGTGACATTTAATGTATGTATGATAGATATAAATTTACCATTTCTTAAGTTTTATTTTAAAATGAAGACCTTTTATAATTTTGGAAGTGGAATTTGAAGTATCAAATTTTTATACTGTGGAAAAATATCAATACCTCAGTCTTTCTAAAAATAAAGTTATCTTTATTTCTTTTAATAGCAAACTATTTTGCCTCAAAATCTTTAAAAGAAGATTGTCATTCTATTCATAGTTTCTACTGGCTGCAATTGGTGGTAAAATATGAGGAAGAAAGTCCAGCTGACCTTTAGGAATAGTATTTTCAAGAGCAATGTCACTGCTAAGAGTCATTTTAATTTTCTTTGCATCAAGTTGACTAATATTAAAAGTAAAAATAAATTATCTACTGTGTTGGAAATATGCAAATGCATTTTTAGGTATGTATTGCTAGTTGCTCTAAAACAAAATAGTTTTCATCTTTTAAAAACTTTTAAATAGTTTTCATCTTTTAAATAATGCTACTTACTCTGAAATTTTTATAGATAAGAATTCTGAGTATTTCTGAGAGGTTAATGATAACTGATCACTGAAGCTAGCGAGTCTCAAAGAGAAATGTTCCCCTTCCACTGTGTACCACTAGAGAATGCCAGAATAAGTTTGAGGGTCTTGTCCTTTTCCCCTTCATGTCCATCTGAAAACTTTTTGTACCAGTAAGTAAATCTGAACCAGACCTTTACCTCCTCATACATTGAGAATCCCTGCAACATAACTGTGAGTTTTTGGGTGAATGTGTATCATGAATTGCAAAAAAAGAAAGAGATGAAAACCACTGGCTGAAAGAATATATACAATGCATTTTAAATTAATAGTTACTTTCAATAATTGACAAAAGCAGACTTTTAAAATTTGTATTTGTTTTTACCTTTAGAATTTGAACATTTCATTTCAAGATTTGGGGGACCCTTATCAAGTTGAAAATTTTAGAAGGATTCTTAGAAGATTAATTCGAGTGGAAACACTCTGGTTAATTGTCAATTCACTGGTGGATTTAAGTACCATAAGATTCCCAAGGTATCTAGTTACCATGTTAAAGTTAAAACTTTGCTATCTGAATATATGTGACCATTGTCTATACATACTGTGTATCATATTATGGGGTCAGGTCTTACAAGTGATGCCTTTGCCAAAGGGGCATAGATGGCAAGACAGTAAAAATAAAGTTATATTTACAAATGTCACATCATAGAGGGAAAAATCTATTACTTTCCAAATTAATATTTTTATCACTGATTGTTAGAGAGTAATTGTGATCATGGAAACTATGAACAGAAAATTTTGTCATTTTTCTTGTGTTATACACTGGAAAATGCAACTGCATTACATATATTATTATAGTTGTAAGATAGTAATTTTTAGCTAACTGTACTTACAGCACACCTATGAGCAAAGACTCAACAAGGTAGTCAACAAGAGTATTAGCTTCAGGGTTCCATTCTAATGTGGGAGTGAAGGTAGTGATCGGGTTAGTAATAAAACTAAAAGTTTTAAAATTATCCTAGACCCATTCATTGATCAGTCAAAGATGCCAAATTGCTACTATTAAAGATACTCAGCTTTTCTGCTCAGGTCTGTGGCAGAACACTTTTTGTGGTGAGCTTCTGTCTGCCTCACAAGGCAGAACTGGTAGGTAGAGTGAGCTTTAAAAGCAGTGAAAGACAGTGAGGTCCTCAGTAGTGGATTAGGAGATGACAGAAATGGAGGCTAGACAAAATGGGAAGGGAAATTCTAGAGCAATAATACAGTATCTCTGATCTAGGGCTACAGAAAGAGACAGAAGGGGGATCTCAGGTAGACAAACAGAGGGTGTACCAGAATATGAAGTGCATCTGGTGAAACTCACCAGATGCATCCATCTGGCATCTAGGCCCACTTTTTACATTTGCAAAGTCCTTTTGAAACTTTAAATTACTTGTACAGCATGTGAATTTACTTCTGATCTTTTGAAATAATTAATTTTAAAATACCTAAACAAAACATTTCAAAGGAAACTTTAAGGCCAGGCATGATGGTACATACCTGTAATCCTAGCACTTAAGAAGCTGAGGCAGGATTGCCAAATTCAAGGTCAGCCTGGACTACATATAAGAAACTACCAAAAATGAAAGAGAGAAATAAAAGGAGGGGGTGGAAGAGAAAGGAAAAGAAAGAGACATTATATCACCATAAATTCTTTAAAAATCAGTATCACTTGATGTCAACTTATCTAGAGAATTTTTGGGAGAGATGGTTCTCTTTTTAGTTACATACTGAAGATGTGTACCTAGGTTTTTCTAACACACATTGAAATGAATGTACAGCTGAAATATTTTGGTGATAGTATATGTCCATAGCATAATTTAGAAACAATGAACTAGATCATTTACTTGGAGTATTTGAATTTGACTTGATTCAGATTAACAGACTTTTGAAATCTTTATCATTTTATTAAAAAAAAACAACCTCTCAGTCATGAAAAGACTTGGTTTCAATGTTCTCTAGATGGATACTCTTGGTTTTTATTTGCTTTTGAAATAGGACATACAATATAAAATTACACAACTCCAATTCAAATGTTACAGTTTCCAAGTCAGTATCTTCAGGAAGAAAAACAATTAATATGTCTTCATAGTCTCCTCTCCTCACCCAGAAAATTTGTGTCAGAGCCCAGCAGGTAGTTAGGTCCATGCCTGTCTCCCATCATATCCTACTGCCTGGGTCCATCTGTGATGGAGTGATTCTGAGAAACTGAAAGAATAACAGGACATACATTAAAAAGTGACCGCATGATTGATAAAAAAGAAAACAGATTTCAGAAGTGAGTAGAGAGAGGGCACACCAGCAGTAACTAGTTGGGCTGTGTTTCCAATTAAAAATTGTCTTAGGACAAAAATGTTCCTAAATATTGTATTTTATAACGTGAAAAATAGCAAAAGTCAAAATTATCAAGGATATGATTAGAACTGTATCAAATGTACATTTGGAGAGGGACAAGAAGGAAACAAGGAAAATGAAAATAATGCATGTGAAAAAATGGGAATGAAATCTGGGTAGGTTCAGACTGAACCTGTTTTTCTGATGCCTCTGTGCTTCAGTCTCTCTAGAGGTAGCCTCATGTTATCGTTAGCAATTATTATTTACCACATGTCATTGTGTAACCCAAGGCCCCTAAAGAAGTACCCTATGTTTCTCTTATGGGATTAAATTCTAAGTTATATATAAAGAAATTTTTTCTTATGGCATGGTGCTAGTGATAAATTTTGAATTATTTTCTCCATTTGCAATCTTGTACAATTATGATTTTAAGGCAAAAATTTTGAGAAGCATTATCTATCAGGAAAATGTATTGAACTTAATTTGCCTAATACACATTTCTTCTCCGAAGGGTACTTCTTAGTTTTCCTTTATATAAAAGAGCCTTTTTAGATTTAAAATACTATATTTTAAGTCAGATATATAGAACTCAATATAGAAAATTTTGAACATAGAAAGGGTAGAAAGGAAAATAACAATAATTTAATTACTTATTAATTAATTATTTAATTACTTTCAATAATTGATTAGAGTTCACCCATGGACTCCTTTTCTGGCCTACCCAGGGCTTCCTTTGAAATCCGGGTGGGTTTCCCTAACCCTGCAACTCTTGTATTCTCCATGCCAATAAAACCAGCATCATGTGGACAATGTCACAGTTAGCTACCAAATGGAGCAGTAGATAGACCTCATTGAGCATAACTGCAATGGTTTCTGAGTACTTGGCTAGCTGAGCACAGTGAAATGAATCACAGGAAAACAGTTCCTTGGGAGGCCCTTCTCAAGCAAGCATCCAAGGGACTCTCATCTCAAATGAAACATTTAGGGCCGGGGATGTAGCTCAGTGGTGCTGTGCCTGCCTGCCAAGTGCAAGGTCCTGAGTTTGATTCCTAGCACACGCACACACACAAAAAATCAAATAAAAGGGTTACACTTTTGCATCCACGAGCCTATCATGCCGGCAAAGCATCTTTCTTCTTGCCCCTATACCAAGTACTTATTTTCTTTTTAATAACACTAATCTCTCTAGGAACCATACTTCCTTTGGCCTCAATTTATACATGGTTCTATTTGGGCCCAAATTTAAGTTTTTCAAGTTTTTTTATTCTGATTTTTGTCCCCAGTTCTCACTATAAATCTGACTAAAAGCAGCCAACCATACCCATATCACAGCCTGAACACTGGGCTGAACATTTGGCTACCTTGAAATTTTCTGTCAGATTAATTACTCTATTGCTCTTTGTCTTCAAAACTCTTAGAACATGGAGAAAATATAGACAAATTTTTTTGCCAGAGTGTAACATGCAGGACCTCTAGTCCAATTCTCAATAGAGTTCTCATCCAGCTGAATCCTCTTGAACCTGCTTTTACTGTTTATATTCCTATCACAATTTCATTATTTTGAGATCTGACCAGAGTTTCCCATTAAGCTCTTCTTACGGCATTCTAGGGCTTCTCCAGCCCACATCTCCAAAGTTTTCCAAATTCCTCCTGCAAACCAGTTCCAAATGCTTCTGAAACACAAGATCAGTTATGCTCTCAGAAATGACCTATATACTTAGGTACTGTATCAGTTTTCTGTATCAGTCAGCTATACCATTGCTGGATATTTTGTTCCAGCAATGGTATCTTGGGTTCATGGTTTAGGAGGATTCAGTCCCTGGTCACAGGTTTCAAAGCAGAAACATCATAGCCAAAGAGCACGGTGGAGCAAACCTGCTGAGTTCATGTTGCTTGGGAAGCAGAACAGTGGAAGAGTGTCAGAGAGAATAAACCAGGTCCTATGTATAGTATCCAATGTCATGCCTCTATAATCTACTCAGATACACCCAGAAGTGTGCTTTTCTAATCCACTAGGCATTTTAATTCAATCAAAGATTGAATCAGGATTAGTAGTTATATACACCTATTTATCTATAGCTAATTTTCAGCATCATTATTAGTGTAGTTAAAGTAATTAAAAGGACCAAAACAAGCCACTAAGTTCTAAACTTTTATTTCCTCCCATGACTTCAGGTCATTTCATCTCAGATAACCATATCTTACAAAGAAAGAGTCAGATCATCTCTAGGGTCAGCCTATTTTCACTCTTATTTTAGTCCTTTGTCTACATGCAGTTTCAATAAAAAGACATCGTTTTTGGCACCTTTCTTCCTCACATTGGCATTTTCCCATGATAGCAACTATATTCAAGAGGCTTATATAATATTACCATTTTCAACTATTGATGTACAATGAAAAATTGCCCAAATAAAACCTCTAATCTCTGTTTTACTGTATAAATCTCATCACTGTTGTTGTCTCCCCTATGACTGTAGTATGAAAGCTACATTTCATGTCTGTGAACATAAATTCTCAAATTATTTTTTATACAATAGTGAAAACTGGTGGCAGAATTGCTTTAATATTGAACTAATATTTAACCATGGTAAAATTTTGAAGTTTAAAAGTATATTTCCTGCAATCAGAGAAGGCTTACATTTCAACATCATTCATAAGAAAGTACATTCCTAGACATAAGGAAAATTTAAAAGTATTGTATTTCAATTTTATTAATTTATATGAGGGTTTTTATAAATTATTTTGACTCCAGCTCAGTCACTTGCCTCCTTTCAAAGAATGCCTTACAACAATAGTGTTAAGATTGTCTGAAATTTGATATGCCTTGTGGTCTCGCAATAATTCTGTCTTCAGAATTCATGATGTGGTATAAAGTTATGTACAGATGAGGGGTATAATGAGTTTCTCCTCTTTTTCCAGTATTAACTCCACTGGATCATGTCCAAGATGGATATATACTGGCTTTTAAACTATAAAGACCCAGGTTATGTTGACTTAGGTAGTGTAGAATTGCTTTGAAGTAATTTTAAAGCATGAGGAAAAGACTTAAGCACCCACTCATGCTGGGAAGCTAGGCTGAAGTTCAAAGTACATCCTAAGTTGGGTTCAGTTACCAAGACAATAACCCACTCTTTGAAGGCTGGGACAGAATTCATTTTGTTACTGGGTATCAGTACTGAGGATTTGGACCAGACCTACAATGATCCTTTATGCCACACTCAGAATCATGTTAAATATAGTTTTTCTTGATCATTGTCATCTAGAATTGTAACTGCTTTTTTCTTCCTCCTTTGTGTCAGATCCTCTAATAAGGAAATAGCACAATTTAGAAGAGAAAGGACTTAATGATAGAACTTGTAGTGTAAGTCCCAGTGTGTAATGAAGGTAGCCACAATTCCTGGGACACCCACAGGAAAAATTCTCTGGTCATTTTCTAGAAATCAGTTTGATATTGTATCACCATGGCTTGATGTTTTAAAAACAAAAATGATGAGTAACTAAGAGTTCCTGCTAGCTACACATAAATCTGGACACTGGAGCAGGAGAATTGAGATTTTCATCTTTACTCTTCCCCTACAGGCTTTATGATTTTGGATAAGTTACTTAAAATAGGGAATAGTAGTTGACCTCATAGGGTTGTTGTGTGGATTAAGGTAATGTGCAGCAAGCATTTAGCTTTTAGAAAATCAGCCAGAAATGGAAATTTTTAAGGTGGTCAGGACTGATCGTTATTAGCTGACTTAACATGTCTACTGAAAAGTTTCAATCTCATCCATCCAGCAAATTTGAACGCCAGATTCCTCTGGCCTGAGCCGTCAGAATTCTCAAATCTAAGAAAACTGTCCCCTTGAAAGTCAATGCTGCTTTATAAGACTGCTATGTATTAGGCACTGTTTAAATGAAGCCACCTGACAGATCTCTTTCTGAACCTGGAAATAGCTAAATGTGGAACATGAGCTTCAAAAGTGCTTTCTGTCCAGAGAAAATAACTCAGCACAATATTATTTTCTTCATCTTCTTTTGTACCTCCAGCTATCACTAAAAAATACGGACTTTCTTTGCTTTCTCCATTTCTCTTTCAAAACTTTTAACTTTATAATGGGTAGATTTGTCATGATCTTTCTTTTAGGGTTAGTTGGCTAAATCCATGCATTGATTTTTTTTTCCTTATAAGCTTATAAAAACTGAATTAAATTCTCTCATAAAAGCAGATTGTATACAGTCTTCTCTGATCAATACAGACCATCTGCTGAAAGACCTGTTAATGCCTGAGAGGACAAACCACAGTAGGGTCATCAGCTCAGTGAACACCCATAATATTTTTTATTTTAACTTCACTGAAAAGAATAAAGTGAGAGCCACTCATCTTTCTTGTAAAAATAGGCAAAGGCCAGTAATTTATGAAGAATAAGTGAAATAAAATGCTTTTTTCAATGCAGTTACTTATTTTTTTATATTTTTGCTTTAGAGTGTTCTCCTGCTTGCCAAACTTAAAGATGCTGGATGGGATCTTGAAGCTACCAGAAGACTGTGCATCACCAAAACCCAATATTTTTTCAAAAATATGTATTATATCCTAATGCAATGTGTATACAAAGAAAGCAATCACCATTATTGCTAAAAGCTAATAGATGCAGTAAATGCATGATTAAATATTGCAGTTTTAATCAAAGTAGGAAAATACTTTCTATAAAGGACCAGAGAGTAAGTAAACACTGTAGGTTTTGTTGGCCATATAGTCATTGTCATAAAGTCTTCCCTCAGGCATTGTAGCACAAAACAGCCATAGAAGATATGTAAATGTATAGGTGTGGCTATGTCCCAATAAAATTTTACTTGTAAAAATATGGCAGAGTGCAGTTTGCTAATCTCTGCTTTAAATTTTAAGGTCATGTGGCTGATTGCATTACTCTTTACCAATATCTACTTGCCTTCTCTGAAAGAGTTGTATATGCAGTATCCCCTACTCCTTGAGTCAGATATGTCAAACAACTTGCTTTGATCAGCAAAATATAGGTGAATTTGATTTAGGTCCCTTGCAGTCAGATATTTTGAGAACCTGTTTGTATTTTGTCACATTTTCTCTCCTCGTGTCTCAGCAGTGGGAAAGCTTCCCAAATAAAGGTGCCCCACTGGTATAGGGCCTGCAGTGACTATTATGAGGAGAAGAGCCAGTTGTCCTCCAGAAGATATATAGTGAGAAAGAGGAAAGCTGTGTTATTGGTCTTTGGAATTTCATGTTGTTATACCATAGCCTCACCTCCCAAATCAACACTGTAAATGTAGGGACTGCAACAAGCCTTATTTAATGACATGCCTTCCTCTTCCAGAATTAACATAGTAAAACAAAAAAATAGTGAGTAGATGGATAAATGGCTATTGTAGGAAACCATTAATGGTTGGCAGAATTACCAGGAAGAATATATCTACTAGAGTTTATGAAATTTTCCAAAAACCCTAATTAGGGTAATAGAATTGGAAAGAGAAGTTAAGAGGGCATGAAAAATTGGGGAGTTATGACAGCCAATAAGGGTTTTATTGTATAAGCTAGTTTAAATTTGGTTTTCTGTTACTTGCAGGCAAAAACATTCTGACAAGAAAAATCATGAGTTTCATATACAGAGGATTAGAAATGCTGGGTTGCTGCACTTAACTCCGAGAAAGAATGGCTATGCTCACTAATAAGTCTTGCTGTGTACATAAATATTCCTCAGAGGCAGCCTGTGCCAATGTTACAGTCTCATACTCTATTCTGAACAAGTACAGGTTCTCAGACAGTGTAGCCAAAAGGGGTTGACTTAAGTTGCTGATGCTTCTCTATACCAAAGGGCAACTTAATAGAGGAAGGTCTATGAACTGAATAACATCAGACCTAAAATTTAGTCTTCCCCACTCATTGGAGTGGTGGGAGTTTCAGCAGTCAATAGCGGTGACATGTTCAATAATGGCATTGCTGTGATTTCAAAGTATATCTACTCACTTGATTTTTGCCATTTTTGTTACCTATGCTTAAAATTTCCATAAATATAGCTTTATTGCTGACAAAAATCACTGCATTATTTCTCAACAGTGTATTACTACAGGTATACTAAGGCCACAATAAAGAATGGCTCAGATCTCAAGGCATTTTCTCCCTCACAGTTGATTTAAATAATATTAAGAATGGTAGGGAAAATGCATAATGCAGATAACTCCACTATTAGAAAATAATTCCATTGAGAAAAGCTCATTTAGCGGACAGAGAAAACATATATCTTGTAGTCTAGCTCCTCACTGACCCCAACGAATGCTTGTTATCAACTTTACAATATGCAGTACAGAATTCTCCCATTCACATTGGAATATATTGAACTGTTAGAAAACCTCAAAATCCTTATCTTTAGGAAGTTCTTCTTTATATTGAGTTGATAATATCCCTTCTGCAACTTTCATGTAATTTTTCAAATTTATCAAATTATTATAATTAATCCCATCTTGTAAAGAATTTTCCTCAGTTTCCAGATTCTTGAAAGTACCCTGATATTTTTTATTTTATTACATTGGAAATGGAAAACTATCATTCTCTGAGGTGAGGGGAGTGAAGGAAGGGTAGGGAAAAGCTAACTAAAATAAAACCAAAGCAAGAAAAATAATTTTATTTTTATATCCTTTATTCATCAAAAGCAGGTGCCTAAAATGAATGTGTCACCAAATTTTAAAAATTGAGTTAGCCAATTTATTTTTCAATTCTTTGAGAAATCATCTATTTTCAATTATTTCTATCCAGAATAGAATAATTATAACTAATTGCTTGTCATTATACTATCAAACTGTGTTAATGGATGGCCATCTTTCTGAAGGCCAATTGCAGTCATGAAACAGAATTTCTAATTAGTTTTAGTGCTTTGGAACAGATGCATCAATATTTGAACCATGCAGGTGTATGTTTGCTTATCTGCTCTTTTTCTGTCATCAGTGGAAGTATTATGTGAGTTTTATTTAAAATTTCTCAAAGATCACACAGAACCTATAATGGTACTTTATATAAAAATCATACTCAAATCTGTTGCTAAAAATTTTTTATTTTTTCCAAAATCTCAGTGTCCTTGAACCACTTACTATAAAGTTATACATTTGCGTACGTTGTTTAAAACTTACTTCTCATATTATTATATATAATCTTCATAACTTGCCCATAAAGTAATATTATTCTTCATATATGATTCAGGAAACTGAGATTTTGAGAATTTGGTGTATTCTCTGAGATCCTACAGCTACTAAATCTTGCATGGAGCTGATTCCCAACCAGATCTTAAGGCCACTAAACATATGATTTGCTATATCATCCACATTCTTTACAGTTTTCAGTACACCATGTCTTCATTTATAGACATTTTCTAGAAACTCAAAGTACCTTACATCAATTATAATGGAACCCACAATGGGCCTTACAGGCAATTGGTCACTTGCTGCCCAGTTGTCAAGACTGATGGCCAATATAGTCTCTTTCATTCTATCTGATACCTAGATCTGAAACTCATCATAATCATCCAGGTTATGTATGCAAAGACCAGTCACTGCTATTCCCTGCTGGTGTCATGTCAAGAACTCTTATGACTACAAAAGTGCAAATGCATGACAAATGTGTTTCATGTTAGAGAGAAGAGAAGGAGGTAGGAAAGAAAGGACAACTGTGTGTGGTGCTGACTCAAGATGAAATGTGGAGCTAAAACTTGTTATTCTGTAATTTAGAGAACTGAACAAAAACATGTAACTATGAGCTGTTTCAAAATCTCTAAACATATGGCACTATATATCTGAGCTAATCATCAGAATAAGTCACTGTTCATTTTCTTCGCCAAGACAGTGGGGATTAGAAAGAACCAAATTTGTTGATGTAAATCCTTTGCAGGTTTGCATAGGTTTATTAAATTGGTAAGTGAATCAGATTAGTTTTTTCCCTGGAAGTTTTGTGTTGGAGAATTTAAAAAGTAAAGAGTAGATATCTGGGGTAATAATTTGTACAGAACTGTAGTTTTTGATACCCAGAACATCTTTTCCCACTAAAATGCCATTTAAAAGCTTGCCATTATACCAAGACTCTCAAAAGACTAAAAGTGTCACTTTCGGTGACAAAGAGTCAAATGGTCACTTGAATATAAAATGTACTTTGCCAGGAGGACAAAAGAGACACATGTTTTATATCTTTAAATTATAGTGATCTAAAGAAATATCATTAACAATCACCACCACCACCGTTATCACCACTGCTGCCACCGCTGCCGCTGCCCCCATTGTTTATCTAACACAGATGAAAAAAGAAAGGAATTACCAAAAGGGGAGAATGCCAGGAAAGGAATGATTTTAGCAAAGAACAACAGTAAATTTAACTTAAACTACACATTTTTGTACTATCATTATCTTTGTAGAACTTAAGCAAGGGAAGCCAAGTAAAGTGGAACAAAGAACAAAGTTAAACAGAGAAACTGATTCCTTATGTGATCTACTACTTGCCATATCCTAAAGCAAAACACCCTTACTTTCTACTTCCAAAAATTGCCTGTAGAAGTTTAATCTAGTTTATATGCCTCATCAAGATCATTACCTACATCATACATAATTGCTCAATTGTGAAGACAGGCTATCACAATCTATAGAAAATGTTCTTCAAAGGTTGTAACTTCCATTTTGCTCTTTGATCTTATCTTCTATTGGAAAATATATTGAATCCTTCCTTGCATGATATGTTAGTCAGCTATGCATTTCTGTGACCAAAACATTAGAGAAAAACATCTTAACTGTGAAAAAGTTTATTAGGGTTTACAGTTTCAGAGGTTCCAGTAAGCTGGCTCTACTGCTTTTAAGCCTGTAGTGAGGCAGAAACATCACAGCAGAAGGATATATGGAGGAAAGCTTTTTACTTCATAGCATGAGAGAGAGAGAGAGAGAGAGAGAGAGAGAGAGAGAGAAAGGATACATCTTTCAACCCATTGACCTACTTCCTCCATCCCCCCACCTCAGCCCATGAGCCCAATGGACTAACCCATCCATGAGTCAGAGCCTTCATGATCCAGTCCTTCTTTAGGCCCCACCTCTGAACACTGCTGCAGTGGGGAGTGAGCCTTTGACATGTGAGTCTTTGGGGGACACTTCACATGTAAATTATAAAACACAAAGATCCTCTTGTCAAAGACCTGTAATAGTTGAAACTGAACTGATTCCCAACATCATAGAAATATTGAGTTTTCTCCCTAACTCAGACATTCTTGACAGAATGTTCCCCCTCAGTAATCATGTCAGCATGGCTATTTGCTTATGATCGCGTCCTTATTATCATATACTAGAGAGAATAATCCCAAATTAAATGTATTTACTTTTGTGCAATACATTTTTTACTCTTTGCATCACAATTCATTTCAGCTGACTTTTTCCCTCTAGAAAAGATTTTGCAATATTGAAATCAGTAAGTAGATTTACATTCTGGGGTAAACACCTTAATCTGAGTTGCTATTTGATATTATTTTCCTGTCATTACACAATGACATCAAAATTTATTTCCATACTAAACTTAAACCAGGAACCAGGAACCACTTTTGTTGACAGAATAATCATCATCATGTTCAAATCAAACATGCATAAAAGAATTGCCATGAAGGAATATCTGTATATTTGTCAAGTTGTAATATAAAACACTTTGTTATCTGTATTTCTTCTGACTTGACTTTCCATATTATTCACCAGTTCTTGAATGTCAATCTATGATGTCATTGGTAGTTAAGTTACCCTTCTGTCTCAGAGCCATCCAACA